TTTTAAATTTTAAAAAATTTTAAAAAATAAAATGAATGACGCAGGCTTTGTTTTTGCAGCCTTATATAGTAATTTACAGAACTGCTTTTAAACCATGTTTCTGAAATCTGGACTGTTCTTTGATTTTATCTTCCTTCCTAGTGCGCAAGTGGGGAATGAAGGAGCACATGAGCTTGAGCTTTGTATAAGCTTATTAATATGATGATAAATCATAGGATAGCCTGACATGCAAATGCTCTGATATTCTTACACATTTTCCCTTTTGGGTTACACCTACCAAAAATCATGGATATAGCAATCCATTAAACTTTGCTTCTATCCTTTTTCTTTGGTCTATATATGTTGCAAGGTTTTGGGATAGTTATTTAAACATATTTTTGGACAGTAAAAAGAATTCTGCAAAAGTTACATTTTGTTGTTGCTGTAGTAATCTTGACATTTCTATGTGTATTTGAACATGTTTGAAATTATTTCTTTTTTGAAGCACACTCTTTTTCTCTCACATACTTTGCAGGATTAGGAACCTTTTGTTTTCAGTTGAAACACAGACAACAGAAGCAAGAACACAACTTTATCATACAGAAATAGATGCTCTTTATAAAGATTTAACTATGAAAGGAAAAACATATATTTTATCTGCAGAACCTAGGGTAAGATATTTCATTAATTATTTTCAAAACTAGTTTACAGGAAATGTTCAACTAGATTGGGGTGGACAACCTCTGCGGGGTTGGGGGCTACAGCTCAGTTTCTCATTCTTTCAGGGGGTATAGGGAAACCATCTTATCATGTAAAAAAGTCACAGGAAGGAGAGGTAGCCAATTTTTCTACTTTTTTCCCAGAATTCCAGAATAAGAATGAAAGTGAAAGGCTTCTAGGAATCAAAGTTTCCCATTACCATCCTTAAAATCCACCCAACCTCTGAAAAATAGGTCAAATTGTCCTTTGGGGGAACATTTTATAGCTGTTTTTAAGGGGATTGAAATAGAGTAATAGGTAAAGATGGGCAGAAACTTCCAATTTCCATCCTTAAATCTCTTTAAAAATGGCCCCCAAATGGCCCACAATCACCCAGATTGTGATTTGTGGTTCTAAGCCTGTTCTCATCCCCACCATTAATTTTGAAAGAGAAAAAAAAAGATTGCGCTGCTGATATTTTAGCTACCAACATTTTGTGGTTTGATCTCATGGAGCAGGGGGATTCTATGTGGCTATGTGGCCATTGGTTGTCTTGCCTAAATTAGTTTAATGAACAAAAAAACCTGTTTTCCCCCAAAATTAGTCATTATTCTGCATGGTAAACTATGTTTGTAAGTACATCATGATGTAGCAAGGAGCTTAGACCCTGAAAAACCAAGCAGAATATTTTTACACTCTAGATTCTGATAATAATTTGCATATCCATAAACCAAATTCATTATGTCAAAATGTATTCACCTCTGTTCCATCACTATAATATTACATGTGATTTTTATGTAAGGGTTGAATGAAAAATAATACCTCCACTGCCATTATTTTACCTAAAATATTTTAATAAATGATACAGGAAAGTAATCCTGAAATAAGCTTTTTTTTCATTACCTGTGTTTATTTTTCCACATAACCACCACCATTCACTATACACTTCTGCCAACAATGGACAAACTTTTCAAAGTCATCATGAAAGAACTCCACACTTTGTTCTTCAACCAAGTCTTGACAGTCCTTTCTACCTCTTCATTTGAGTTAAAGAGATACCCACAAAGGTATTTCTTCAGTTTTCAGGAAAGCTGACAGTCACATGATGCCAAATCTGAACTGTATGGTGGATAGGATGAGATAGTGACTTTCAGCAATACAGTTGCCTCTTGGGTGGCTTGTGAGGTGTGAGACCTAGTGTTGTCATGTCACTGCAAAATTTGCTTTTGAACTCTACTTAATTGTTGTTTTAAAATTTTTGAGTGTTGCAGTATAGTATTCTAAGTTGATAATGGTGCCATATTCAAGGATATCCATGTGAAGAACACCATTTGTGTCCCCAAAAACTGTAATCGTGAGTTTTCCTACCGAAGCTTGGGTTTTGAATTATTTTTTGCAGATGAAATTTTTGGATGATATTGCATGGACTGACGCTTCATTTCGTGGTCATAAATGGTGAGCCCGTGTTTTGTTGGCTGCCATGATGTTGAGAAAAAATTCTGCACCTTCATTCTTATAGTGTGATAACAATTGCTGACAAATTTCAACTCTTGAAGCTTTTATCTCTGCCATCAGCATGGGAGGAACCCTTCTTGCATGTGACCCATGTGTTCCTTTGAAAAGCCAAGCTTGACAGAAGTTTCCCTTTGAATGATCTGGTGATTGGCCTTTATCAGTTCATCAACCTTTCTCATATTAAACTTGTTGATTGCTGTCACAAATTGTCCACTTCATTCTTGATCACACAGATCAGCTCTTCCTGATTCGCTACCTCTACATGTTTTTTTGGCCCAGTGACACACAGTACTAATGCCAGCACAGTCATCATCATAAACAACCTGCATTCAACTGTGAATTTCAACTGGAGGGATTCTTTCAGCTGCCAAAAATCCAGTCATAGCAAGTTGGTTAAAGCACACTGACAAATACTCGCTGCATGCTTCCATTTCATGAACAACAGCAACACAACTTATTCCCACAGCAACTTTCCATCAACTGAAGTGAAAGAACAGATGTTAAAGAACACATCAGAGTTTCTAGCATGTCAGTACTGCCATCTGTCGGTGTCTTATAACATTGATGCATTACTTTTCATTCAACTCTCATGTTATTTCATGCTATGTTGCAAGTACTTTTTTCCAGTAAAGAAACATACCTTTATTTACCTTAAGAAAATGCTACAAATATTTCCAAATGCAGGTAGTCCTCACTTATTGACCACTCATTCAGCGACTGTTCAAACTTACGATGGTGCTGAAAAACAAGGCTTATGACCAGTCCTTGAAGTAGCAGCTGTTGCAGCATCCCCATGGTCACGTGATTGCAATTTACAAGTTGCAGTGTCCTGTGGTCACATGATCACCATTTGCGACCTTCACAGCTGGCCTCTGACAAGCAAAGTCAATGGGAAGCCGGCAGCAAGTCGCACTCACGTGACGTTGCACTTAACAACCCGCAGTGATTCACTTAACAACTGCAGCAGGAATTGACGTTGAAGCCAGCATGGTCACATGATGTTTCACTTAACAACCATGCCACTTAATGATGGTGTTGCTGGTCCCAACTGCAGTTGATGAGGATTACCTGTATGCCATTAGTCAAGGCTTGTCATTTTGTATGATTTTTTTTTAATGTCATGTACATTCTTTTATTTTATTTTATTTTATTTTATTTAGGAGACAGATGTCATATGCAATCTAATCTTGTCTGTTTTATACTACTTCTGTAACTTAATGCCTCTGTCGAGAGGTTCCAGGTTAGTACCTTCTTACATAGTATTTGTATTTAAACCAGGTTTATCTTATCAATAACATAAATAACTGTGGTGCTATTTATATTATTCCCTGTTTTCCCCACTCAATTTTTAATGTTTTATGCGTAGATGGTGGTGTTTTATTTATTTATTTCATTTCTCATTCTCTACCCTAGGTTATAAAAATAAATAATATAAAAAATAGATTTCTAACATTTTGAAAGACTAAAATTTGATGTAGGGTACAGTCTGATATATTAGATATAAGTATACTTGTACATAACTTTTTAGGAGCCTGGTCAGTGGCGAATATGTGATAATTTGAAGAAAACTAATGTACAAGAAAAAATCTTTAAAGAATTAATTTATTTGCCCGCAATTGTATACTGCCTAGTCCTAGGGAGATTCAAATTAGTGATGGTTATTCTATCAAATTCTGACAATCTGCAATTAATGGAATTTGTTAGTGAGAGTCCGTATGCTAGAAAATGAGTTGTATGAGAAACAGAAAGGCTCTGTCTCCTTTTTTCTATCTGTTGAGTCTTGCGAAAGAAAGCAGTTCTTTCTTAGTCAATTGCTTTCTCTCCGTTCTTGTTTCTCTTGCCTTCCTTGTTTGTAGGAAGCTGCAGGACAAACTTGTGGTGCTGAAAAAGATGTTACTGTTTCTGCATTGCCAGCTTGCTGGGTTTCCATGCTATGCACTAAGAACGTTGTTGTTGTCGTTGTTTTAGTATAGTGGCTTATTCAATCATCATGGGAGCACTGATGGCAAGTGGAAAGGAAGTATCAGGAAAAATTCCTAAAGGAAAGGTACGCTATGCATAAGATATGTTAGATTTAGATAAGAACAACTTTTGATCATATGTGTAGGATACCCAAATAATTCTGCATCTTACTCCTGTGTCCAAAATGCTCCTTAAAGGATCCTGAACCCTGTTTGAGGATATCTTCAACATTGCAAAGGCTGACATGTTTTGCTACAACAGAAGCATGCCTCTTTTGGTACAGTATTAGAAATAGTTCTATGAAAAATGGGAGGAGGAAAGCAAAATCATTAAATGAAATTGCAGTTTAATGCATGCTGGATAGTAAATGCAACTAACTTCCAAGGAAGCATGTTTCCCAGGAGCGAACTCTTTGGAGCTTGATCTTGATCCTGGTCCTGATCCAGTAATATTTGCAACTTTTCACTATCATGCCCTGTTTTTATGGAGTATTCCTGTTATTGTTTAGCTCTTAAAAAAAAGTAATAGAATGTGTAAACCTGATCTACCTCCTTATTTCTTTTTTTAAAAGAGCATTGAAAGCTCGTATGAAGATAATGCAGTTGTATTTTCTTTTGGTTATCTTGGGTATTGTCCACAATTTGGTATTTCTAATATACAAGAGTGAGTTATATGGTCAATAATCTTTCCTCTGGGCCTTGTAACAGAAGTTGTGTAAATAGGCCAACTTAAAAAGTAAACACATTTAAATACACTTCCTTTCTATTTATAATTGTGGTGGTTTTACATTTTCCTCTGAATTGTGTGGGCAGCTTGAGATTTTCAGTGTTGTATTACAATTGCCAAAATGGCAGCCTTTGTGAAATAAACAGGTCAAAAATATCCAGTGCTACTCCACTGGTCTTCCTAATCATATGGCTATGCCTTTTGGATGATTCTGAATGTTTGGGTATGTTCTGGCATAATTGGAAGTTATTTTAAAAGATTCCTATCTTTAAATTCATTTCTTAATGTTTTCCAGTTGGTGGATTTTGAAGCCATGATTGCATCTAGTTCAGAAGCCTTTAGTAAAGTAGCAAAAGGCTGGTTGAATTTGAAAAGGTAAAAATACTATTGCTGATATATATTATACATGAGTGTGTCCTAAGGGGAAAAACAGAAAGAAAAGAGGAACCCCTGCATCTTCTACCAAATATGTAATCTTCACTCACCTTGTGGTGTGATTTTTCTAAGAATTATCAATCCTCACTTTGCTTTGCCCGTATCAGACCAAACAATTGTCCTGCTTAACTTTCTGCATGTATATGCATGCCATATTAAACACAATGTAGTCATTCTTAAACTAATCACATCTAATAAAGGTAGTTCTTACTATAATTATGGTAGTTCAGTACCAAATATAAATCAAACTATGGATTGACTTAAATTGAATTGGGGTATACAGTAGAATCTTGTACAGTGGTACCTCGGGTTACGAACGCCTCTGTTAACGAACTTTTCAGGTTATGACCAGCTCCGGCCGCAAAAATTTACCTCGGTTTGCGAACTCTGCCTCGGGGTACAAACAGGATACGTGGCCATTTTCCCTCCTGTGACACGGTCCGCGGCCATTTTTCCACCCCTGATATTTGGTCCGTGGCCATTTTCCCTCCTGTGACACGGTCCGCGGCCATTTTTCCACCCCT